AGGCAATTCTCCTGCTTCAGCCTCCTGAGTAGCTGGGATTACAGGCACGCGCCACCATGCCCAGCTAATTTTTTGTATTTTTAGTAGAGACGGGGTTTCACCATGTTGACCAGGTTGGTCTCGATCTCTTGACCTCGTGATCCACCCGCCTCGGCCTCCCAAACCAGGTTGGTCTCAATCTCTTGACCTCGTGATCCACCTGCCTCGGCCTCCCAATGGAAACTTAATGGTATATTTAGATACCTCACTTTCACTATTCCACCTTCTCAGGAAGAGCTTGCCTGTTTACTTTGAAACTAGCTTGTTAGTCGCAGCTACTCAGGAGGTCAAGGCAGGAGGGTCACTTGAGCCCAGGAGTTCAGGGCTGTCGTGTACTGATCATGACCGCAAATACCCACTTCACTCTAGTCTGGGCAACATAGGAAGACGCCGTGTCTAAAAAAAGAAAAGAAAAAGAGATTGGCTTATCCAGTTCAAAACAGGGAACAGTGTCTCATGGAGTTTTACATTTGGATTACATTGAATTTATAAATTTGGGGAGAATGGAAATCTTAGAATGTGGTGCATCTACCAATTTTCATTCAAACCTTTTGTGTCCTTAAATATAATTGTATTGTTTTCTCCAGGTCTAGAAATTTAATTTCTCTAGATATGTTTTTAATGCATTCATGAAAGTAATCTTTTTTTTTTACTGGTTCTAGTTGTGTTTCTTTTTCTTTTTTTTGAGACAGAGTCTTGCTCTCTCATCCAGGCTGGAGTGCAGCGGGCACGATCTTGGCTCATTGTAACCTCTGCCTTCCAAGTTCAAGCAATTCTCCTGCCTCAGCCTCCCGAGTAGCTGGGATTACAGGCACATGCCACCATGCCTGGCTAATTTTTGTATTTTTAGTAGAGATGGGGTTTTGCCATGTTGGCAAGGCTGGCCTAAAATTCCTGACCTCAAGTGATCCACCCGCCTTGGCCTTCCGAAGTGCTGCGATTATAGGCGTGAGCCACCATGCCCAGCCTCTGGTTGTGTTTCATTTGATTCTCCTGGATTTCCTATACACACAGTTAGATGATTTGTAAAGCATTCCTAAATTATGCCGATAGTTTTTTTTTTTAATATGGTTTAAAATTATTTAGGATCTCCAGGCAACAACAGCAATATTTACATATATCCCTGTCTTATTCTTACCTTTAAAGGGATTTTTTTTTTTTTTTTGAGACCGAGGAGTGCAGTGGTACGATCTCGGGTCACTGCAACCTCCACTTCCTGGGTTCAAGTGATTCTCCTGCCTCAGCCTCCCGAGTAGCTGAGACTATAGGTACATGTCACCATGCCCAGCTAAGTTTTGTATTTTTAGTAGAGACAGGGTTTCACCATGTTGGCCAGGATAGTCTCGATCTCTTGACCTCATGATCTACCTGCCTCAGCCTCCCAAAGTGCTGGGAATACAGGCGTGAGCCACCACACCCAGCCGGGACTTTTTTTTTTCTTGTTTTGTCATCTTTGAATACAAATATAAAATAAGGCTGAGCGCTTTGGCTCATGCCTGTAATCCCAGTGTTTTGGGAGGCTGGGGCAGGAGGATCACTTGAGCCTAGGAGTTCAAGACCAGCCTGGGCAAAATAGTGAGACCCTGTCTCTACGAAAAAAAAATTTAAAAATCAGCCAAGCATGCTGCCACATGCCTGTAGTCCCAGCTACTTGGGAGGCTGAGATGAGAGGCTGCTTGAGCCTGGGCGGTCAAAGCCGTGGTGAGCCATGGTCACGCCACTGCAGCCCAGGTGACAGAGCGAGACCCTGTCTCTAAATAAATAAAAGATAAAAATTAACAATGGAATGTTTCTAGTGTTTTAACACTAAGTACAAATTTGCATTTACTTTGGTTTCTGGATTATATTCTAATTCAGTTCTTTTACTGTTTAGATGATCAAATGATTTCATCTTTCATGAGTCTTAAGAGATTTTTTTTCCTTATTCTTGTATGTTCTTCCAATGAATTAAAAATTTTTTTATTTTTTTTATAGACACAGGTCTCACTCTGTTGCCCAGGCTGGTCTCAAACCCCTGGCGTCACGCAGTCCTGCCTCAGCCTCCCAAAGTGCTAAGATTACAGAAATGAGTCATTGCTCCTGGCCAAGATTTTCTTTCGTAAAAGCAATAGTTAATTCCCAAAGTAAAAACCTGATGATCATGGTTGATAATATTATTCTAATACAGTTTTAAAGTTGATGAGCTAGTATTTGGTTTAGGAATTTAATATCCTAAAATTTATAATTTGTATTTCTTTGTAATTTTTCTCTCTCTCTCTTTTTTTTCTGAGACAGAGTCTCACTCTGTCGCTCAGGCTGGAATGCAGTGGCATGATCTCAACTCACTGCAGCCTCTCCCTCCAGAGTTCAAGTGATTCTCCTGCGTCAGCCGTTTGAATAGTTGAGACTATAGGTACCCCTCAGAATGCCTGGCTAATTTTTGTATTTTTAGTAGAGACCAGTTTTCACCACTTTGGCCAGGCTGGTCTCGAATTCCTGGCCTCAAGTAATCCACGTGCCTCGGGCTCCCAAAGGGCTGGGATTACAGGTGTGAGTCACCGAGACCAGCTTCTCATGTTATCTTAATTTTGTTTTGGTATCAGGGATTTGTTTTCTTGGGAAATGTATTGGAAAAAAATGTATCGTTATGTTTTTTAATGCCCTGGAATACTTTAAATAACATGAATTGAGAATGCCCTTATAATTCTTATTGGACCTTATTAATAAAACTGTTTAGGTCTTTATCTTTTTGGGGATAAAGCATGTATTGCCCATTTAATTATTTCTGTGGTTATTGGTATAGAAAGGTTTTCCACCACTTCTTGAATCAAATTTAGTAATTTGTATTTTCCTCAGAAATCATTCATTTCACCTAGATTTTAAAATTTAATTGGCAAATTTAATCATCTCTTATTTTTAAAAATCTCTTTACCACTTGTGATTATATCCACTTTCTCATTCCTAATGTTATATATTTATTTGCTCTTTGATCAGACTTCCTAGAGGTTTGAGAATTTCCTTTAAGAACCAGTAGTTTAGCCGGGCACGGTGGCTCAAGCCTGTAATCCCAGCACTTTGGGAGGCTGAGGCGAGTGGATCACGAGGTCAAGAGATCGAGACCATCCTAGTCAACATGGTGAAACCCTGTCTCTACTGAAAATACAAAAAATTAGCTGGGCTTGGTGGCGCGTGCCTGTAATCCCAGCAACTCAGGAGGCTGAGGCAGGAGAATTGCCTGAACCCAGGAGGCGGAGGTTGCGGTGAGCCGAGATTGCGCCATCGCACTCCAGCCTGGGTAACGAGCGAAACTCCGTCTCAAAAAAAAAAAAGAACCAGTAGTTTGTGTTTTTCTATGCTTATGTAATGTTTGATAATTTTCTAATCTCTCAGTTACTACTTTAACCTCCAAATCCAGTTATTAGTACTCAGCTTCTCAGGGGTTAGAGGGTGGTTTTATGTTTTGATTGCTAAGTTTTGGATTTATGGTGGTAGTCCAGGAATAAGGCCTTTTTGGAAGTTGGAATTTTCTTCATGGCCTAATAAATGATTGGTTTTGTCAGAGCTTCATAGACGTTTGAATATGGGATCTCTGTTGTAACTTAAAATATTAAATTTTATTTATTTTTAAAATTTAAGTAAGGTTATTTAATGGTGCTGTTCAGTTCTGTAGCTTTAGTTTGGGGCTTCTTATTTATTCTGTTGTTTTTTTTTTTTTTTTTTTTTNAATATGGAACGCTTCACGAATTTGCGTGTCATCCTTGCGCAGGGGCCATGCTAATCTTCTCTGTATCGTTCCAATTTTAGTATATGTGCTGCCAAAGCGAGCACTATTCTGTTGTTTTTTTGGGGAAAAGAGATTTTCCCATTTTGTTATCTTCTAATAGAGCTGGTCTTATGTTGCTAACAATTTTTGCTTCATTTATTTTACTGCTATATTAGATTATTTTAAAATTTTATTACTTTTAAATTTTATTTTATATATATATTTATAAATATATATATATATATAAATATATATATATATACACACACACACACACTTTTTGAGATAGAGTCTCAGTCTGTCGCCCAGGCTGGAGTGCAGTGGGGTGATCTCGGCTCACTGCAACCTCCGCCTCCCGTGTTCAAGCATTCTTCTGCCTCAGCTTCCCAAGCAGCTGGGATTATAGGTGCATGCCACCACGGCTGGCCAATTTTTTGTATTTTTAGTAGAGACAGAGTTTCACCACGTTGGCCAGACTGCTCTCAACTCCTGACCTCATGTGATCCATCCACCTCAGCTTCCCAAAGTGCTGGGATTACAGGTCTGAGCCACCACTCCTGGTCCTACTTTCCCCCCCACCCCTTATGATTTATTTATTTATTTTGAGACAGAGTTTCGCTCTTGTTGCCCAGGCTGGGGTGCAGTGGTGCAATCTTGGATCAATGCAACCTCTGCCTCCCAGGTTCAAGCGATTCTTCTGCCTTAGCCTTCTGTGTAGCTGGGATTACAGGCGTGTGCCACCCTGCTTGGCTAATTTTTTAATATTTTTAGTAGAGATGGGGTTTCTCCATGTTGGTCAGGCTGGTCTAAACTCCCAACCTCAGGTGATCCACCCATCTCAGCCTCCCAAAGTACTGGGATTACAGGCATGAGCCACCATGCCCTCCCTCTTCTTATGATTTGGAAATTCTGCAGCTATTCTTGTACTGCTTGCTGGTGGTTGGTTTTCTTTACATCGTTAAAGCAGGATGTGTTTTTTTCATCTGTGTCAAGTATTGAAATGAATATAAATTTATCCCCTAAGATAAGACCATTAGCACACGTTTTGTTGTAATAATTATAGCCTAATTTCAGATTCTTAATTTTTCTGTATTATACCAGTCATTTTCAAGGAACCAGTACAGATTTTCTTGGCTTTATTGCTCTCTGTTGTATCTTAACTGTTGTGTCTTAATTTCTTGAACTGTCTGTTTGACTGACTTTTTATTTGACTGGATGTTTTCCTCTAGGTGTTTGTATTAGTGCGTGGGTGGCAGCTCGGGAAACAGAGAGCCCTCCTGTAGTAGTCCCAGTTATTAGGGAGGCTGAAGCAAGAGGATCGCCTGAGCCGAGGAGTTCAAGGCTGCAGTGAGCTGTGATTGTGTGGCTGCACTCCAGTCTGGGCAACAGAGCAAGACCCCGTCTCTTAAGAAATAAAATAATAAATCTTAAAAAGAAAACATGCAAGGTCATGTTCTTAATGCATTTGTCCTCAAAATGAATGAGAGTATGACTCTGTATAGAATTCTAGGGTCATAATCCTTTTAACTGAAACTAATATTGCTCTGTTCTTTTCCTTTACTTACATTCTTCCCAGTACAGTATCTCAGAGTTTGAAGTATTCAGGCAATGTTTCTCGGTGGTAGTAATGTGTAGGATTGTCTCTGCTATATTAACTGATTAACCTTCAGGGAGGGAAGTAGGACAGAGAGGAAATGGAATCCATGTATTTGCTAACTCGGGACCTTTGGCATACTTTGGTTCTGATAATCGTCATCTAGGGTCCTGTTAATTCCCTAGCACTCTTTTAAAGTAGTTTAGCTACTGGCCCCACAAACCCACATTTTTAAAGATAATCCCGGCTTTCTGGATCTGTCGTTGTTTGCTTAAATATTTTTGGTTCTGATGGGGGAAAACATGAAAAACTCAATTTGTGTGTTAGCTAATGATCTGATAAAGAATCCTCATAAAAACAACAGAATGTACATTGATTGATGGTAAAATCATCTTGGTCCCCTCTCCTCATGCATCTGACATACATGTTATTTTGTTTTACAGGAATGGCAGGTTTTGCAGCAATTGTTGCATATGGGTTATACAAATTGAAGAGCAGGGGAAATACTAAAATGTCTGTTCATCTGATCCACGTGCGTGTGGCAGCCCAGGGCTTTGTTGTAGGAGCAATGACTATTGGTAGGTTCCTACAGGAAATTTTCACATTTTTGTTCCCCATCGAGGTATTTCTTTACAAACGAGACAAGTAAATATTTTTAGCTGACCTTTTAGCCGTTTGAGAATATCACTTATATTCGGTAAAAAATGAATTAATGAAAAGAATTCAAATAGTGACATAGTAGTTTTTCTATGTTATTTTCTACTACAATCTTAAAGAAAAAATAATCCTGTCAGTCACTGAGTTTATAATTTTATTGACGAGTCTAAAGGGGTTGGTAGTAACGTGTTATCTGGGAGAGACATAAGTTGCTATTTTATAGTGTTTTTAAAGAAAAGATTCTTAAAGTGTAGGTATTATATGCTTCTATTGGCTTTATAATTCATTGACTTTATTTGGTATGGTGTAGCAAGAGTGACTCCTTTCAAAGTCACCAGGTAAATATTGATTGCTCTTAAAAGGAAATATTGCAACATGTGAAATAGTCATACCAGCCCTTTGCTACTTGGGAAACTACTCTATGTAAAAAGAGTTTTAGAAGTTAAGTTGTTTAAAAAGGCAAGAGTATAAGCTTCCTGGGGTCTTATTCCCCTTGTAAATATTCCATGCTAAGCAGTTGTGCTACTTTCAGCTATTTTATGAACTGGTTTTTATTTTTCAGTATTTAAGAAAATATTGAAATGCTTAACTAGCATTCTTTTTCTTTAGGTATGGGCTATTCCATGTATCGGGAATACTGGGCAAAACCTAAGCCTTAGAAGAAGAGATGCTGTCTTGGTCTCGTTGGAGGAGCTTACTTTAGTTAGACATCTCTTTGTTGAAGTTACATATTGTTGAAAATAAACTAATTTGTATGGGTTTAGATGGTAAAATGGCATTTTGAATATTGGCTTTCTTTCTTGCAGGCTTGATTTGCCTGGTGTGACCACATTACTAGTGGCTAGTTTACTAACTAGGTCATTCAAGGAAGTCAAGTTAACTTGAAAGAAACATGTCACCTAAATGCACTTGATGATGTTGAAATGTCCACCTTCTTAAATTGTTCAGCTGAACTTAGTTCTAAAGAAGATAACAGGCCAACCCTGAAGTACTCCCTGTTTGCTGCAGAATCTCAGATGCTTTGGATGTTATATGAGAGTCCTATTTGCCCCAGTCAATTTAACTTTTTTCTGCCTGTTTTGTGGACAGGCTGGCCCTTTTAGAACTCTGTCCAAAAAGTTCATGGAATATAACTTGTAAAGCTTCCCACAACTAACAATATGTGTATGTGCATGTGTTTAAACCAAATGTAGAAAGTTTACAGTAGAGCTGCATGATAGTAGTATTTATTAAAGAATCTCAGTTGTAAACATGAGAATAATTTATGGATTCTAGTTTAGTTCTTGTGTAACTGCGAATTATATTTTTGCTGCTGTTATATTAGAATAAATTTTAAATATCATCTTGAAATAGAAATATGTATTTTTAGCACTCACAGCAAAGGTAAATGAACACTTTTTAAATGTGTGCATTGCATATTTTTTCCATAATAATTGTAAACATTAAACTCAACAAATGACCTATAATGGATTTGATTAATGACTTAAGAGCAGGCTGGTTTGGCCAGACAGTATACCCAAACTTTTATATAGTACAGAATGCTATTACACTTGTGAAGTTCTCTTGTCTAAACTGAATTTACATTCCGTCATGATAACATGGCATATGTGTTGTTATTAAAGTAAGCGACCCATGCCAAATGTCTTGTCTTTATTTCATGAAGGAGGAGCTTCCTGTGGAGGAACAAACTGGAGAACAGGTTTCAGGAAATTCTCTTTTTGGTTGTTGTTGTTCCCTACTTTAATCATCTTCTGCTTTCTGTTCCGATGATTTGAAAAATATTATACTATATGGTGTGTTTTGTTTTCTTTGTTTTGTGGGTAATTTTTGTTCTAGTGATTATCCGTATAATTTTTTTTTTTTTGAGATGGAGTTTTGCTTTGCTGTCCAGGCTGGAGTGCAGTGGCATGATCTAAGCTCACTGAAACCTCCGCACCCCACCCCGGGTCCAAGCGATTCTCCCGCCTTAGCCTTCTGAGTAGCTGTGACTACAGGCATGGCGCTAACATGCCTGGCTAATTTTTGTATTTTTGGTAGAGACAAGATTTCAACAGGCTGGCCAAGCTGGTCTTGAACTCCTGACCTCAGGTGATCCACCTGCCTTGGCCTCCCAAAGTGTTAGGATTACGGGCGTGAGCCACCACGCCTGGCTGATTATCCATATAATTATAGCACTCTTTATTTTCAGTCACTAACAATTCCTTATGAGCAGTATTTAAATCTAGCATATTTCTTCTTTCCCTCCTCCTCTACTAACCAATTCTAGTCAATAACGTTATTGGACTTTACTCTTGTACTTTTTTTTTTGAGACAGAGTCTCGCTTTGTTGCTCAGGCAGGATTACAGTGGCATGATCTCAGCTCACGGCAACGTCCACCTCCTCCATTCAAGTTATTCTCATGCCTTAGTCTCCTGAGTAGCTACAGTTACAGGCATGCGCCCCCATGCTGGGCTAATTTTTGTATTTTTTGTAAAGGCGAGGTTTCACCATGTTGGCCAGGATGGTCTCAAACTCCTGGCTTCAAGCGATCTGTCTGCCTCAGCCTCCCAGAGTGTGGAAATAAAGGCGTGATCCACCACGCCTGACCTACTTGTATACTGTTAAATGTCATTATACTTCTCTGACTTGCCAGCTTAGCTTTAACTGATTTGCTCTGTTGCCGTCTACCACGCTGTCAGTGAACTTCCACCTTCTTTTCCCTTCTTCTCAATTTTGTATCATTTCTACATTGTGAGAACATGTAATATGTACGTTCTGTTCCGTCATCCTCCATGTTTTAGTTTCACAGTTTAAATATGTTTGAAATTCAAACATTCCCAGTAATCTCTCGGTCAGCTGAAATTAATGATTTAATAAGTTCCTCAAGAAAGACTCATGGAATAATTTTCCGAAATTTTTGCCCTGTCAAATATGTTTGTCGGTAGCCTTTACACAGTAAACAAAATTTAGCTAGATATACAATTCTCAGTTTATGTTTTTCTTTGGAATATTGAAGTGTTGCTATAGAGCAGCTTAAAGTCGTGACATTTTTCTTATATAAGTGATTTGATTTTTTGCTTGGCTGCTCAAATTCTTCCTTTATCAAGTCCAATAACTAACAGGTCTTTGTATTGACCTTTCACTACATTTTCAGAAAACTTTCATTCTAATAGATGAGTACTCTACTGGTTTTAAATAACAAATTTGAGAGTCATTGATCTAGACAAATGGCAGAAGATGGGGAGAAATACAGGTGAAGGGTTGAGATAGTAACGAGTGTTCATGAGATACGTGTGAGATTGCTCGCCTGAAGAGATGGGTGTGTTAGGTGGTTCAAGTGGATGAGATGCTAGTTTTTATTGAATGAGGCCTGGGTTCATGGTTCTGCCACTCCTAACCAAGCACCCATGGTTTTCTTATCTGTACAATGGGGACAGCATCAGTGGCCTAGGGTTGTCGGGATTAAATAAAATACTGTAAAGGGCTTACTTAGCATAGCACCCAATTCATTAGTAAGCTCAGTAGATGGTTGCTGTTTCCATTGTTACTGTGGTAACGATGGGAATGCAGCAGCACAGGAGACACATGCGCCTTGCCTTCAGAGTTTATAGTCTTAGCAGGGAAGGCTGGTATTGTAGAAGTGATTACCATTGCAGGGGCCAAGGGACATCTTTCCCTCCGCCCTCTGAAGGACAAAAGGCAGATTAGTAAGACCTGAAATTATTTTAATGTGTGTATCATGGGGGAATGGCAGAATGATTACTCAGTAAGCCAAGAGGATACATGTTTATACACCCTTCTTCGCAGCGGAATTGGAGGTGGAGGAAATGTGGCAATCTGAGGGATAATGAGTTATTTTTAGGGACCTAGAGAACAGGATAGCCTAAGACAAAGTCTGGCCCACAGAGCAGGTAACGGTTTGTGACAAGTCTGTCCAGGTATGTTGACAGATTTTTGTCTCTTCCTGCAGTGAGTTAAATTAATGGGAACTCCATGCCGGGTGCGGTGGCTCACACCTGTAATCCCAGTCCTTCGGGAGGCCGAGGCAGGTGGATCACTGGAGGTCAGGAGTTTGAGACCAGCCTGGCCAACATGGCAAAACCCCCTCTCTACTAAATAAAATACAAAAATTACCTGGGTGTGGTGGCATGCACCTATAGTGTCAGCTACTCAGGAGGCTGACGTGGGAGAATCACTTGAACCCAGGAAATTGCGCCACTGCACTCCAGGTTGGGCAACAGAGTGAGACTCTGTCTTTAAAAAAAAAAACAAAAAAAAAACCCAAACCCTCGGGGAAAGGACCGGGGTAATTTTTTTCCCTTTTGGCAGGTCTAGACTTTAAGCAGATAAGGGAGCTTCAAAGAACAGCTTCTTGGTGGGGAGGGAGTAGGAGGTCAGAGACCTTGAGGCTGCATCCTCCGTCCAGCATGTCAAAACATATTTTGGGGTATTCTTTTCTGAGTCCCAACACAATAAAGTGTGATGAATATTAGGTATAGGATGCAACAGGAACATCCGGCTGGGGACCTGACCCGGGGCTGGGCTTGGAGAAAGTCTCCCTGAGGAATCAGTGTTCTGCTTTAAGGAGATAGTATGTTGATTTTTCACTGAGAGTTACAGTCCATGGCTTAATGTTGGAGGTTATTGGAGTGTTGACGTGTGTGATCGCTACCATGCCTCTCCAGTTGTCTGAGGGCATGATGGCCTTTCTCATCCAAAGCACCTGGCACACAAAAGTGTTCAGTGTTTGTTAAATTAACTACGAGTAGAATAAGAAGGTTCAGGATCCTACTGTCCCTAGAAGGTGCTATTTCTAGTTGATGAACAACAGTGACATCTGGTGGTAAGAGTTGGAATTTGACTCCATACTTAAAATCCCCCTAAATAAACTCAACTTCGGAATCTCAGACAGATTTTTGGAGTGGAAGGGGTATTGGTCATCTAGGCCATGCTTCTTGCCTCACAGATGAGAAACTGCTGCTCAGTTTCAGGGACCTGCAGTTTAGGCTGTCTCCCCATGTAAATCTATAGTTCATCACATCATAACTACCAGACCAGAGCAACACTGAATGAACATCAAGTATTTTAAAGTTCTCGTGTCATAGTGGAACTTCAGATGTGATTTATACACTTGGTTCCATTTGCAAGCTGTTTGAATAGAATAGGGACATTTGGGAGAGGCAGCTGAGACAGGCACCCTGCCTGGTTTGCAACTTTATCAGTGAATGATTTATCTGACATGAGTTCATGGAAGAGCCAGCACTGCTCATGAATCTAGTTTCCTTCTTAGAGAAAAAGAGAGCCTACTTTCGCCTTAGTCATTGTATGAAGCAAAAGAAAGAGTTTGTTTTAGCAAGACGAAAGTTAGAGGTCCCCTAAATTCAGTCGTAATGAGTAAGTCGAGGGTGGAGGCCAGTGTCCAGTTGGTCCCCTCAGAGGAAGCTAGGAACAGGTCCTTGCTGCAGTATTTTGAGCTTCTTATAACGTTGGTGTTAGGTCTTTTCCTATCCTGAATGTAATTCTGAAGTGTTAGAGACTGAATAAAACTTTGCCGTCACACCTTTGAGTTATGGTCCTTACCTAGTCTCAACTTGTCTACAACCATAGCTATTGTCTGCCCCATGGCGCCCCTTCCTACCTCACTCATTTCTGTCAATGATAACCCCATCTCCTACTGACCCCCTGAGCTCAAACCCCCTGGGCTCAAGCGATCTTCCCACCACAGCACCCCAAGTAGTTGGACTACAGGCGTGGGCCAGCACGTCCAGCTGATACTTGTGTTTTTTGTAGAGACTGGATTTCACCATGTTGGGCAGGGTGGTCTCCACCTCCTGAGCTCAAGCGATCCTCCTGCCTCAGTCTCCCAAAGTGCTGGGATTACAGGTGTGAGCCACTGCGCCTGGCCTATGTATGTATTTTTTAATTGAGACTGGATCTTTCCCTGTCACCCAGGCTGGAGTGCAGGGGCATGATCATACCTCACTGCAGCTCTGTCTCTGGGCTCAAGCAATCCCCCTGCCTCAGCCTCCCGAGTAGCTGGAACTGCAGGTGCACACCACCACACCTGGCTGATTGCTTCAGCCTTTATAGAAAGGACGCTGAGGAGATTCCCACACACAAATGGTCTTTACTGTGGAAGTGGTAAATTAAATACTAGTAAGTGCACAGGAATTGGGGACCTAGTTAATGAGAGAAATGAATAATTACCAGGATCAGGTTACTTTCATCCAAATGTTTTGAAGGACCATGATGTGAGCCAAGAATGGAATTGAGAAATTTGAGGGTAAAATAAAAATCCATGAGCAACCTCATGCTGAAGGCTTGGTGGAGAGCCAGGCTAGACCTCATCTGTCAGAGAGGCCCCTGGGAACTGAGGATTGACGAATCTGGCAGAACATTGTTTTCTAATAAAGTCAATATATGATGAATGAGACCACATCTATACAAACACATCTTAGACAAAATAGTTCCATGGATCAAGTAAGATTGACTGTAGCCAAAATGGTGTTTAACTAAAATGTGCGCTACCAAAGCCCGAATCCATGGCAGGTGGTAGAGGCAGAACTTCCAGCAAGAAGGGGCTTGAACCTGGAGAAAATGAACAATTTTTATCTATATAGGGCTCCTGATTGTGAAGTAGAATAATTTAAAAAGG